AGGAAATTGTCCGGAAATCAACGTTCATGTATTAAGGAAGGTCAGCCAGTGTCAACAAGCAACCTGAACTGGTCAGTGGTCTACCCGGCTGCGTGATGTCGACACCTTGCTATCTGGGGGTGATGCACCGACGGAATAGTTCGTTGTAGAAATAACGGGGCTTGTCTGCTGCATGGTTGTTATAGCGTATTCAGACACAAAACTTTCTGGACCTGCCAGCCATTTGGGTTTAGCCAACCGTAATCAACTTAGTTTGGTGTCGGTTGGTCTGTCTTGGGCTATACCATGGTCATACTGATTCCGAATGTCACGTGATGTCTAAAAAAACGTGAGTTTAGATACAGCCAAGATACTAGCAAGCAACCAACTAGGGGAATGCGTGTAAGAGAGACTCCAGAGGAGATCTCGGTCAGCATTATTTTCAACTACTTCTTGGCTGATTTTTTCTGGAGGCGGAAATCATGATGGTCGTAAAACTTTATCTTAATCGATTATACACATACTCAAATGCTTGAACCATAAAAAATTGGCATTTTAGCGCCTGTATTCCCTAAAATTTGAAAGTTATGGGTTTCTCGGTTAAGATTTTGGCAATGTTTTGAGGGACTGAATAATCACTCAAATTTGTTGTGGGATATACTGCTGATTCCACGGTAATCATCTTCTAGTTTGGGAGTGGAAGTTTTCCGATAAAGGGACAACTATTTTACAAAGGTTTAAGCTCATCAGTTGTCAAGCTAGACAGATAGGTAGTGTGAAATACCCGCACGCTCTCAGCAAGTTGAAAAACACAGGTAGAGGCGGTAAACTGATGGACGAACGCAGTTCGTATTACCTTGTCAATACCAGGTAGCGAAATACACCCATTTGCATGCCAATTCGATGTGGCCTGGAGACTCACCTGGAATCAGCTGAATCTCTCGTTTATGACGTTTTGAACAACAGAACGTGCCGCACCAGAATGCCCAGAGTTTCAATTTTAGCTTAAAAACACCATAAACGATAGGTTCAGTTGAGTTCCAGGTGAGTCTCCCGCAAAATCCAATTGACGAGCTCATTTGTCGCTACCAGTCCAATTTGGGTGCAAATAGAACTTAACGTCGATGAAAACTCGGGGGCTGTGCCTACCTGATGAGCTTCAGGAAAGGCAAAACTGATCATGGGCTGCCGAAGAGCTTCCAGCAGCTTTATGAGTAATGTATTACGCCTAGGAATTAAGCAGTCTATTGCATTAGGTTAGAAGGACAAAGCGATACTCCTTCTTTGTAAGATATCTTTCTCACAAGCTATGCAGTAATCGGCACAAGGCCACACATCTTTAATGAAGCATAACATTATGGAGAAATGGGTTTTGGGTACAGTATGGCACAGCCCCGAGTTTAAATTGATCTTTTACGCCACATCCTTTATATATATATCTTCGCCTGTTCTTACCGTACCAAGTGAGCCGGTTTATCCTGAATGTAGTGCTTAACCCCTAGGGCTTGTTCTATTTCTCATGGTAAGTAAGTCTCAGCAGTTTTTGTAACCGCATTTCTCACGTCTGGCACAGCTAGCCTTGCCGTCACGCATCTTCAGGCTTTCTCAGCTTACATAAGTCAACCTTTGATTCGGACAACGGCTCTCACTTGACCAGAACTCTGGGAGATGATACCGGTATTCTCTGTGGGCTTGCTCTGTGTGGCAATGCCCATTACCAGAACACTCACCTGGTAGTTTGAGGGGCTTGGTGTGGCAGCTGGGTTCGCCACAATGGTGCTATTCTGAGGCTACTCTGCATATCGGTAGCAATCCGTCAACAAAACACATCAACTTCTCAGAACTAAAGGCAGTTGCGAGGTAGTATGAAGAAGACACAACTTCCATCAATGTCAGTGTCAATGAGAAATTGAAAATAACCCTAAAAAATGAAAGAAATTTAGAGATTTGTTACGGATGAGTTCAGTTTGTAGAGTGAAGAAAAACTTTGTTCCTTCAACCGCAGTCGGTCTAAGGCTTATGAATGTAAAACAAATAGTAAATAAGCCACTGCACTTCACTTTATTCTGACAATCAGATACTAGCTAGTCCTCACTGATTTCCAAATTTTCCAATAGTTTAATTTAGTGTTTTTCCCCACGGTAATTGAGATATCCCACTTAAAGGACTCCTGACAAGGCAATCATTCAACCGGACTGCTTTTGAATAGATGAGTTAAAGTTCCACAAAACCTTGCTCAGTTACGTTTATGCTTTTCCGAGTTAACTGCCCATTTTTGTCCACTTGCGATCCGTGTTTTCCTGGTACCGTTTTTGTTCGCTTTCTGGCCTCGTTTGTTCGATGCGTTTTTTCTTCCCCACAGGGTGACTACGCAGTGGGCTAAAAATAGATTCCTAGCGCAACAACTGATGCGCGTCGAGGTGTGAGAGGAGGGTTCTGATTGCGGTAATATACGGACTAGATCAATACAGAACGCTTCGATTAGCCCATACATTAAATTTCAAATGCTTGCTACGAGTCTAGACATATTTACGCTGTATTTTTGCTCCACTACGTTCGTGATATTTCATTTAGAAGGTTTTCAAAAGAGCTCTGTGTAAAAAAAAACCATTCCCGCCCCATAAAGGATTATGCTTTTTTATTCGTTGTTTATCATTGTTGGGACAAAATTCGCCTGGTGCTCAGTCAACCAATATTAAGTAGAATTTGCTGTTTTCGCGCAAGAATAAATAGTCTATTGGTTCTCACGCATCAGTCAGACGTTTTCAAGCTTCTTGTGGTTGCAGCACCCAAGTGGGCGATAGGAGTCACCATAAGGTAAATAGACGGTTTGTGTAAGTGGTGTTCAATGGACCAAGCGGTAAAGAAAACCGAAGCACTAAGTAATGTGTTTTTGATAAGCTGCATCCGTGAATAAATTGTACCATAAATTGTAACGTGAATTCTGCACCTGTTTCATCACCATTTGTTGACAACTTTCGTGTTGACTACGCGCATTGCATGTAGGCCCTATTTTACAACCAGGGGAGTAGGCCAGCACATGGTGGCAGGTCAGGTCAAGTTGAATGTCTTTCAGCAAGCAAAGTAAATCCACGAGTGATGCAGAAGCCCAATTGTAACCAGACCAATCATGTAGTCTACCCGGACAACCCAGGAACAAGGGTGATGTGGACACAGTCGCCAAAACGGTCTCATTGGAAGGGCCGTCTCCTCTTAGGGTAGATTTCTTCATGAGAGAGAGAGAGAAGCGCCGCACAAGGTTATTCAAGCAGTGTTGGTCAAGCGAGAGGCGAAAATCCTAGGAGGTGGTCTTGCATCCCGCATCGCTGACGGAACACCATTCTAAAGTAGGAATACCACTTTTGGCATTTTGCTGGGGCAAGTGAACTCTGTATCTAAGCAACTGGTGATTGCTGACCTAAACTTAATCCGGTCAGTTGACAGTGACTGTGGGTAATACCATCAGATTCCGCTCTAGGGTGACCATGTCTACTTTGTGAGCACATCCGCCTGCGTGTACAAATCATGGCATACATCTGACTTTGTCAATCGCCGAACTATTCAGCACAACTGGTACAAGTTTTTTGTCCAGATGACCCACTGGAAATTACCGGAAAACCTCTGATTCCGTACCTTGACTGGGTTCTTGACTTTTTGTGTTCTCTTAAACAGAACAATTCTGGCTACTTGGGTGTGTTTGGCTCACACAGTTGTCCATTCCAAATGGCACAAAGCATGTGATATCCAATCGAAAATTACTTGGGTACGGAGGAGGAAGAATAAGTCACAGGCTGTGTTAACTTTCCCTCTGAGGAGTCGTCACCCATAAAACCATTCGATCAATGACCACGTGATATGTATGGCGTGTCCGGAGCATGAATGACGGATGAATCGCACCGCTAGTCAGTCACTCATGGCCAAACAATTGCTATCCGGGGGTAGCAGGTACGATTAGCCTTGAACTCTCCTGAAATTCGCTTTGCTAAAGAAGGGAGGGATAACCAATGCTCTTTGGCTTTTCGGAACAGATTGGCGTCATTTATGGGGTGAAATTTTGAGTGAAATTTTCAAATTTTCTCATTCTGTAGATAACTTTGAGATCGCTTGGACTGACCTGGTTGAAATTATCGAGAATTCGTACTCCAGAAAAGAGATTCGCAACAGAGAGGCCGACATAGAACCGTTTACTCTTAATATACTGACAAAAATATCCCCAAAAATTGGTGTATGTGATTTTTGGGTCCAATTTCATCAAACTTCCCCTTAGAATTACGTGAAAAGAATGTCACAAGTAGGAGCACCACATCATTCAGGGAGTGTAAGTCAACACCTACTGAATATCAGCGGCGCTCTGCCACTATACATCGTGAACAATGTAGGTGGAGTTGAAAGATACTAAGAGTTATTCTGGAGGGATCTGAATACATTCCGTATATTTTTAGCGGACTTTTCTTAATTTGTTTGTGCCAAACAGATTTTCCAATTCCTTGGACCCCAAGGAACTTGTACTCCAGACGACATTCGAACATGAATGATTCACGGTTTTGACCGCACACATCGATTTTTCTATTGTACACGATTTCATATTTCCCTATCGAATGACCAATGATTGTTGTCCTGGTTGAGTAGCAGTAATTTCAATTAGGAGGTTTGTAAGTGATGACCATCAGGACTGGTACATGCCTACCAGACCTAAACAGATTGTTTGTCAGAACCCGTAGATCAGAACTGTAGTATCATTACGCATTGGGCTACGGATCATACCATAGCTTGTATTCACCATCTGGTAGACCTGTCTTTCACAGAATCCTCCACTTAAATTGGCCGGTATAGACAAGTGTCGATTCACAAGATTGTTGAAACTTGTCTCTATACCTGTCGGTTTTAGCCCTGGTGTCGTAAGAGTTATCAGAACTTTCATCTTCAGCTTAAGCCCTATTCTTGGGCAGGCGAATATGCATCGGTCACAAATGTATTCCTATCGAATTACTGACGTACGCTTTTTATCGAAAGTCACTTACACAAAATCAATACGAAGTATCTCACTTATAAGAGAAACAAAGCGTTCAGCTGTAGCACCCTTCCGGTGCCTAGCTGCCATGCCACCCGAAGGAAGCACGAGGGCTGGGATACTGCCAGGTTGCCCAAGCCTAGACAGGGGAAGTCGAGAGGCGGAGGTCGGATTCGAATCACGGACCTTCCTGTCAGTAGATTTGAGCTCTAGCCACTTGAGCGCTCTAACCACTCGCCCCTAACTAATAACATAAGGCCCACCTCTTACATTGTTAGATAGTGGAGAGAGGAGAAAGTGTCAACAAATGAAAATGAACTAGTAGAAATGGTGCCGTGGTAGGTACCGATGATGTAGGAAGACAAGAGACAGTAACGAGGTTTAGTTAGTTAATACTTTTTGAAGAAAATGTATGAAGGACAAGCGGGAAAGCATGGCACTGACGGGCGGGTCAACTGACCAACACAGTTAGGCCGCTTACTGAGTCGTCGTTCGAGGCATCGTGCAAACCAATCACAACGCTCAGGTGTGAGGATGTTCACCGGTTCAGACGTGATAGTTCAGCCAGGTACAGCCAATGGTATGTACTGCTGATGAGGTCTAATGAGGGTGGAACTAGAGTCCAGTGCTTCCACCCCCCTCCTGTCGCGGACCCGTCAGAACAGATGCGCCAGGGTAGGAGGGGAACTGTTTAAACAAGAGTGATGTAAATCAACTGAAACTAACTACTTGTGTCCTAAGTACCGTCCTGCACCACCGACATTATTAAGATGGAGCATTTGCGACAGTTAGTTTGTAGCAATCTAACCAGATGGTTTCCTTTTTGATGTTAACATGCCTTGTTACAGTAAATCAGTGCGCTAATGTTCTCTTCGATCCAGCCATGTTGTTCCAGGTAGTGAGCAGAAATCACTGGAGATCGCTGGTGACAATCAGCGATGGCAATCAGTGTTGTCCCGTGAGAGCGTTGCTAGCCAGCCAGAAAAATGCTTCCATTTATAACCAAACGCTGGTTTTTCGTGAGTTCTGAAGCCTCGTTCAATCTCAACCAAAGGAGCGAAAACGCACGGAGATTTCAGGAAGTCGCAGGGTTAAACTTAGGGCTACTTCCCAAAAAACGGTCTGGAACAGAACGACAAAACAGAGTGTACTCTGCTGTAATTTTGTATCGTGAAATTCCACTGTTGGAAACATCGTTCTTTTGACATTGCAACGATGCCCCATGTATCCACTTGAAGTAATTGATTGTTATTCCATCTTAAAGTGCCATAAAGAGCTATACTGCCTCAAAGGGCAATTTTCAAATATATCTTCTTTCCACGAAAGTATTTTATTTTATAAATCACTTGTCGAAAAACAACATTTGCTTTCAGCCTTGATGTCAAAAAGCGACGAGCCGGACAGAACAAGCTTGCAGGGTGAACTCGTCTTGTATGCCACAGTTTGAAAGCTTTATCCTATGTAGATTAATGTATAAAACTTTAGTTTACTGACTTCCTAAATAACTTGAGGTCGCATTCTGGAGAAAGTGTAGGTCTATCTTTGCTGACAACTGGATTTTTTTACCGACTTTGAAATCTAACCTTATCGTAAGATCTGTAAATGCCGCTGACAGCGCCGCACCATAAATGGACCACACAGCGTGATGAAAGTGCGATGTTTATTTGTCTTCTCTTCACGAGTATGCTTCCTTTTTACCTGTGGACAGCATAATTTTTCGGTCCTACGAGGGCTGTATTGGTACGGTGACCCTTTGTTAGTTGTCCGGGCAACAATAGTTTCATGAGAGTGTAAACAACCCGACCGGTCACAAACGGATAGGCGACGTCACCAGTCAATGACCAAAAGTGTTGTACAGATATTCATTGGGTTTCTGCTGTTATTTCAAAAGCCGAACGAACTACGCTCTATTAGTGGAGTACTACTAATGAAGGAGGATGAGTAGACTGACAATTTTGGTTGTATTGACAGCAGAGATTTTAGACAATGGTAATACTGCACAGTAAACATAAAAATAACTCGTTTTAAAGATTTTTACTCACATCCTGCTTATATTATGCCGATATCTTTCGAGCCCTTTCAGTCTGTCCATTCTGTGCGGTTTTGCACTCTTAATTCAACAGCCGATTATTGATCGGTGGTTTAGTTATGCGCGCCACTCCAGTTCTCATGCGTTTAATCGTGTCAAATTGACTAACTTCTAAAAATTGTCCGGCTTAAGCAGAATTTGCAAATTTTACGCTTTGTAGACTGCTATTTGGCAACTAAATACAGTACGATGGATGATGAACGATTGTATGAGATTAACTACCTCCCTTTTTAGGCAGATATAGCTATCCCATAATTCTATCAGTAAGGAATAGAACAAACATCCAGCCACTAAAATAACTTGATTCTGGGATTGGTTTGCGCTTTTTTGTCGGAACCACGCATTGCTGGTAACTGTACTCATTTTTAAACTCAGTATCACATTTCCAATCACCAGAATCGACAGCATGACATCACTGTTCAACACCGATGCTTCGCTTCCTTGAACTACTTAGATATCGTGGTTGTACGTGGGTTGGGATACTGCCAGGGCATCCACACCTAGACAGGAGGACGATTATGTTCCTCAACCGGAGCTCTTGGCTCAAAAGTCTAACCGCAAGGCAGCAATGTTTGGTTGGGAATGCAAATACACACGTCGCCATATGTTCCAACCTTCAACTTGGAGGACCAGGAATCTGTGTTTATCAGACCTCTAACTTTGACCAACCTGGTATGAGAGACTTTGTGGGTGTCACTGGAACACCCCTCAGTATAGCTCAATGGATCGCTGAGGTTCGCGAACCGTCACACCAAGGTAAGATCCAGTCTCTTCCAAGCTCCACACGAAAGGAATACACCCGCTATTAGTAGTGCTCCGAACGAGCTTTACTGTTCTTCCTTGGTTTGCCCGCATACGTGATTGTCCATCCACCTTCAGCTTGATAAGATTTATCGCTTGTCTATTGTGTACACTGGTGTTGCCGTGCGAAAACGTTTTAGTATCAAATTAATTTGCTATGAATTTTGCCCTCATGTACTGATTTTTCAAAATGTGCAGGAAATCACAACCAAGTCTGAGATGGCATCTAATTTCTGTCATCCCACATACCAACGAAGTTAATTTGAAACTAGATGGTGAACAAGGTTTTAGGGTGATACTAGTGATGGGGAGGCATGCGAGTAATATGTTTTCTTCTTGTAAATTCGCTTTGCGTCTGCTGAAAAGGGGGATCTGTTGCGGAATTTTTGAAGTCGCTTTGTAGCATTTGCTTGGATTTGAGCCGTCAATGATTTGAATCAATGAATATCCAGGAAAGTCCAAGAAGATGCGTTCAGGAGGAGATGGATGTTCAGATTTTGTGAATAAGATGCAAATGAGAGTTTTGCTTCCTTGTTCAATAGTCTGTAACTGGTCAGTTGGCATTTTCCAATAAATAACTCCGCGGCGAATGCCTTTTTCCTTTCATTTCACAGGTAGCTAAAAGCGTCAAAGTGATTGGTTGAGTTTGTATGTGTTTTACAACTTCAGAACTGTATTTTTGTCTTTGTTGTTAAGATAACATGGGAGAAACGCCCCTTAAAGTATACCGATTGCCAGCGAGAATATGCTTAATGCGGGGTTCAAATAGGGGTGAACAGTTGCATGTCCTCTACTCAGCTACAGATTGACGAAGTCTTTTCGCTCCTAGTGCCATGAAGAGAAGGATTATGTGGGCGAATATACACTCATTTGCAGACTAATTTGCTTTTTCCAGAGACTCATCTGGAACCCAGTTGAATCTACCGTTTGTGATGTTTCCAGGCAGCTGAATGTGCTGCACCAGGCCGCCTCATGTTTCAGTAGCTGCGATATTCGAGATGTCGCGATACATGTATATTTGTAACGCACTACTCAAAAGGTCTCTCGAAAAACAAAATTAGTTTGCAAATGAGTGTATATTCGCTAATTTCGTGCAATTTGGTTTCAAGTAGAACATAAGTTTGACGGAAACCCGGGGACTGCGCCTACCTGATGAGTCCCAAGAAGGACGAAACCGGTCATGGGCTGTCGATGGATTTTCAGCAACCTTATGAGTAGTGAATCACAACAAGGACTTTGTTGGTTCACTTGTTTTCAGCACTGACAGCAATGTCACTCTGGAAAGTCTTTATTAAACTGGGACACATAGAGAAGACCAAAGCACCTCCGGCAAAGAGGCATGGTTAGCAACATTGAGAGGTTTCCCTGACAATCCTGTCATGGAAGGGGTCATCAAAACATTCTGGTTTCCACAGTAGAAGATTTACACTGCAGGTCAAAAACTTAGATGAATACTGTTAATGTTCACACCAAAATATGGACGCTACCGATAAGCCTGATACACTATCCCGCCATACTATCCGAGTGTTTCTGATCGCAATTTACTTGTGTTGAGAAGTAAACTAAATTGAGATACGCGGGAAAAACCGTTATTCAGGACGCAACAGAGCCACAATAAGGAACGAAGGAAAAGAACTAGGATAGCTAATGACGCGGTGCACGATAACTTGATATTTGTTGACCGTACGGGGAGATTTGGGGCGTTTTTAATTAGGATTTCGACCTAAGCGTGCCACTTTATGACAAAAAGCCGAGAGACGCCTACAGCTGTTTTATTTTTATTATCACCCATGAACTGCGCGTATCTCAACTACATCTCGGGAGTTTGCGTGTTCGAATCTCCCTGGAGTTTCGCGAAATGTGAACTACCGATGATTCACCGTAAGGATAAGACAGTCGCACAGTGCTCCAAGGCTTTCCAATATAAATTGGCTTGAATAAAATGATGAAATCTCCGTTGGAAATTCCCAAATCTCCTTGCATCATCAACATGCGAGTCACACTTCCGATTCCATATTTCATTTACGAACGAATTTAACGACCCCACTTGGCGAAAAATTCTGTCATCAATAGCATCTTGTCTGACAGCTTTGAGTGTGGGAAATTTACCAGCCTCGCTGGAGTTTTACTACCTCCGAATGCTGTCGCTCAAATTTAGTCAAAAATTGATTTGGGTTAACAAAAATTCTCAGCATTTCTTACAAAAATTGAATGACTGCTGCATCCAGTACTGATCCTTAGTTACTAGGTGATAGGGGTGCCAACATAAATGCCTTTTACTGAGTTGGGTCTTGTCACCTTCAGGAACATCTGATAAGAACCCAGCTTCGTGATCACTTCCGTAAGCATTCCATTGTTGAGTGATTTTGCCCAAACGGATGGTAAATTGTAATTGTTTTCAGTGAATTTACGTTCTACCGAGCGCAAATATACTTTACCACTGTTCTTGTCCTCATTGTACTGTTTTCCCCTTGTAAGTTATTACGCCTTCTTTGGTAGTAGATTCAATCAGTTCTTCGTTGATATAAGCTTTGCTTCTTCTCCCTCAAACCTGTAGTGTCTTCATAAGTACACTGATTTATACGTCTACATATTTGCTTCTAATTTGACCTGTAAAATTCAATACGCATCGGTTCTTCTTTGACATAAAACTCCATTTCCAGATTTGTAGATCTATTCTGTGCCGGACCATTTTACCGGTACTTGTCGATGACTTCGATATTGTGGTTCTGTTGCGCCGTTCAAAACGTCCGTGAATTCCTGACGGATTCAACAATAAACTTTCCGCAAAAAAGCTGCAAAAGAAGATAAATCTACCGTTAAGGTAGGAATCAAAATTGTTACTGTTATCATTTTTTTTAAAAGAGTGAATCCCAGTCATTAGAAGAAACAGATTTCTAGAAACTCCCAGAAGCGAGAAGGAATAATGTAGTGTTCTTTCTATCATGTTAGTGCTGACAGTGCATTTCCTGAATCACCTAACCAACACACACCTTTGCATACGCTACGCATGCTCTTCATTCGATTAATCAATAAACTTAACGTTTGTTTGTAACAATTAGCAATATGCTTGTTTTCCACTTTGGACGCCTGTTGGTTTTCCGCACTTCGGCTGTCGTCAGCTGTCCAGGTGCACCAGACCAATCACGTGATAGATCGATCGATTTTGCCGGTGCATTCAGGTGGTGGTTAGTCAGACTTTTTCGGATTAATCGATAACACATATTGCTGTCGTACGAACAGACAAATACATGGATGGAGCAAGTGGTACACTGAAAATAAGGCTGCATTGTAAAATTGTTTTTTATTCAGTTCTCCAGCGTATACATCCGACGTGAACAACTGGAGGCAGAGACGATGGGAACAAAACGTTGATATTTCGGTGTAAATTTTCGACTAAACGATAAGTTGTCTCGTCAAAGACTCAGATAGAGGAAGTATCCCCCAAATGACAACAACAAGTTGGACTGACGTAGAAAAAAAAGAAATGGTGGCATCCATCCAATGCGTACGTGGTAGACTAGCTGTGTGTGGTGTCAACCGTTTTGTATATCGGGACCCCATTCAAACAATCACAATTAAAGATAACAAAATAAAAAATAGAACAAGCTTTTTGTGTGTTCAACTTAAAAACCATAGAATAAAGCAGGAGAAAAAAAACAAATAAAGATAAACGACTCTTTCATTTTTCTTAGGATTGCAGCGTTTGTTTGCACAATCAGTTTCATTTTCCGCACTCAGGGCAGAAGATTCCATCCTCGTTGATGAGGAATCCTTTTCCCACGAGCGAATTCTTACACTTTGTGCAGTTGAAACAATCGGAGTGCCAGTGTTTATCCTCGAAAGTGATGAATTTACAACCACCAAAACCTGAAATGTAGGGGGAAATTTTGGACTCCGTAAGTTTATTTAATCAAGAGCATATATGAGTGACTTTCAACTCTTCATGGTAGAACAGTTTGGTGGCAGAAGCGCTTATCTCATCTTGCTATTGTGCAGAGGAGAAAGTTTCGTCTCTGTTGATATGATTGACTGATAGTGCTAAACGGAATCATTCTTAATATTACGTCAGTGGCAGCTTGTTCAAAATATTCATCATCGGACTTGTATTTGTGAAGCATGTGGAGTGGAACACAACGGGCGTGACTGGCCGATCACTCTATTAGTCTTTGAGTAGAAAGTGGGAGGTCGGATGCCCACATATGATCTATGAGCCCATGTCTCTGAATATTCGGTTAACAACAACATTTTGGGGCTCTCTTATTGCGGGAACCCCACTGTTCGCCCAGCCTCAGTATAAATTTGTCCTCTGGACTTGTATCAGTGAAATATATGGTGTAGGGCTTTTCCCCACATCCACTAATATGCTTGTTGCTGTGTCTAATGAGCTTGAGCTAGTTTAGTTAGGATTGCAGCGTTTGTTTGCACAATCAGTCTCATTTTCCGCACTCAGGGCAGAAGATTCCATCCTCGTTGATAAGGAATCCTTTTCCCACGAGCGAATTCTTACACTTTGTGCAGTTGAAACAATCGGAGTGCCAGTGTTTATCCTCGAAAGTGATGAATTTACAACCACCAAAACCTGAAATATAGGGGGAAATTTTGGACTCCGTAAGTTTATTTAATCAAGAGCATATATGAGTGACTTTCAACTCTTCATGGTAGAACAGTTTGGTGGCAGAAGCGCTTATCTCATCTTGCTATTGTGCAGAGGAGAAAGTTTCGTCTCTGTTGATATGATTGACTGATAGTGCTAAACGGAATCATTCTTAATATTACGTCAGTGGCAGCTTGTTCAAAATATTCATCATCGGACTTGTATTTGTGAAGCATGTGGAGTGGAACACAATGGGCGTGACTGGCCGACCACTCTATTAGTCTTTGAGTAGAAAGTGGGAGGCCGGATGCCCACATATGATCTATGAGCCCATGTCTCTGAATATTCGGTTAACAACAACATTTTGGGGCTCTCTTATTGCGGGAACCCCACTGTTCGCCCAGCCTCAGTATAAATTTGTCCTCTGGACTTGTATCAGTGAAATATATGGTGTAGGGCTTTTCCCCACATCCACTAATATGCTTGTTGCTGTGTCTAATGAGCTTGAGCTAGTTTAGTTTTAAACATTTTCGAAAAATGCTCTCTGATGATGGTGTTCTTCGCTAGTCCAGCTTCAAGTTCTCTCCGCGTAACTGCGACCATCACAGAACTTCATGAAGTTGAGTAAGGAGAGGTTCAACTCTGAAGTGACTGGGGTATGACAGCTGAGAGCAATAAGTTTGAGCCCCTTCGCCGCACCTTCTAACAAACTCGACCATTATCGAGGGGTCGTCAAAGCAAAGAGGACCTATGCAGATTTTTGACGTAATCCACTACTCATAAGGTTGCTGAAATTTATTTTTTGATCGGTTTCACCCTTCTTTGGGCGAAGGGCGAACCCAGTCGTGGGCCGCGAAGAATTTTCAGCAGCCTTATGAGTGGTGCATTACGTCTATACGTGTATCGCGATGTCTCGGCTATCGTACCATCTGAAACATGAGACGGCCTGGTGCAACACATTCAGCTGATTAAAAACACCATAAACGAGAGATCCAGCTGGGTCTCGGATGAGTCTCTCAAAAAACCCAAACTGGTTTGAAAATGAGTATATTTCGCCATGAAGTCCCTTCCCCTCTGACATGTTTCCTCTTGTCTAGACGGAGTGCCCCAGCGTATGCAAACCAGAATCAAACTCGCGATGGCTCACACGGAAAGCTGTGGGATAATGACGGGGATGCTTCTAGCAAATTTAATAGCAATCCAGCTTTGCTGTTGTGATTCTGCTATATAGCGGTCATGCAACATAATCTGAGTGTACGTAAGATTAGGCTTCTTCCTCTGTAGAAGTCAGCATGAACGGTTCCCTCAAGAGGAACCCTGCAAAGTGTCAACTGAAGAAAACACTTTTTCTGGGAATGGATCATGCCTGACGCATCTATCTCCCTAAGTCGTATACAGATGATTTATTCAGTGTGCCCAGAATAAAATATCCACAAATTATGAACTAATTTAAGTAAACCTGGCTAGATTGGGTATGCATTTCCGTCTAATATACTGTTGATCTAGACTGTCTGACGACTGGTAAGTAGGTAGAATGCCATCTTTTGTTGAAACAGTAAGCGATCACCTAGGATTACCTGTAAACGACTAAACATCAAAGCTATACGTTAATTGGAGTTTTATATTCCAGAGTTAACTGTTATCCAAGAAACCAAGCGATGCGAAAACTCGCATCATTATTATTAACCATTATGCTTGATCTAACTGGAAGCCGGCTGTTCCAGATGGAGCCACTGCCTGAGCTGGTGCTCCGTGTAGAGGGAACGTCTGGTGTTGCAAATTAGTCGACTGAGCGTATCATACTCTGTACAACGAATTAAGAACAATCTAACTAGGTAGAACTGTCTACACACATGCAGGCTATAAGTGGGACAGTGGGTAACGTCTTCGAATTTTGTACGAAGAAACGAGGATTTGTATCCAAGTTAGCGAATCCGAAACTGATACTAGCGAGCTTACCGAAACAGATACCTGGCAGCTTGGCAAAAATTTTCAATCTTCCAGCTAATATTGCTAACCTTTTGCTCTTATTCTACATGATTAGTTATTAATTTACGAGAAAATATGGTGGGATGCAGCAAACAGGTCATACATAAAGAGAGGTGATAATGTGACCGTAATCTGGATGGGTCTTGGCTGATTGCATGCTCCGAATTGAGAGTATACGATGCCCACAACTACTAGCGAGGACTCAGCAGGACGTCTTTGAAGTTTACCGTTGCGTTCCGCCATATTTCAGAACATCCGTTTAATGATACCGATGTAACGGTGGATAGGGCGAGATCGCCCTAGTGGTTAGAGCACGAATGTACTGACCGCAAGGTCCGTGGTTCGAACCCGATCTCTGCCTCTTGACTTTTCCTGTCTAGGCTTGGGCGACTTGGCAGTATCCTCGCCGTCGTGCAACCTTCGGTTAGGCACCGAAAGGATGTTAGAGTTGTGTACGATTTTAGCGGTGGATACTACTGAGGAGGCGTGCGAGTAGTATGTGATTTCTCACAAATCCGCTTCGCGTCTCTTGAAAAGTGAAATATCTTACGGACTTTGTGCGATTGTTTTGTAGCATTCGTTTGCATTTGAGTGGTAGTCAATGAATATCCAGGAGAGTTCAGGAAGATGCATTCAAAGAGAGGACGGATAATCAATTTTTTTTAAACAAGATGCATATGAGAGTTTTGCTTCCCTGTCCTATAGTCTGTAACTGTTCATTTGGTGTTTCGGCAGCTAAGGCTTCTTCTTTTCACCGGTAGGTCCAACACACGCCTGGATCGTCCTAAGAGATTCCTTTCTGATGATACCAATCCACAAATCCATTCCACAACATACCCAGGCACTTACTGCATTAAAATTCACCGGGTTTACTGGTTGTTGCATTTCGACGGATTTTACATGCCAGTCGTGAAGTAAACAAACTGTGCTTTTATTCTAGCGCGGTTAAAGACAAGTTATTATTTATCCTTCTCGCACAAGTTGGACATTTTGTGATGCACGTGTGTCGAACCGAAAACCTACCTCAAGGAAGGTTAGACCATTCTGTAGCGATTAATATGTGCTCGTACATAGCAAAACGGAGCACCTGCTGTATGCACCTGTTTTCCAAATTCTAATCAATCAAGTTGTTCCAAAAACTTCACAACCTACCACCAGCTGTCATACTGATTAGAATCGCTTTCGGACAGCAACGAAACACTATCATGCATGCATATTCTCACCATTATCGTTGCGGCACCAAACATCACGACAACTGCGAATGTGTAAGTCACTTAGCCATTCTCATCCCCATGTTTCTATCAAACAAGAACTCAAACGACTTGCCATTTCAGTCGGTATTTGCGAGTTTTTTGAGTAAATTTTTGCTTATTTGTATAGAGACACAACAGTGCGTTTCGGTAATCACGTCCTGGCTTGTAATGCGTTCTCTAATCAGAGCAGCCAGCAAATCTCTGAGGTATAAACGTACACTACGCCTTGGCGGTTAAAAGGTTGGGTCGATTTAAATGAAACCAGAGAATTGAAGCTCTGAGAAACCTGATAACTAATGATGACGATAGATTTCCTGAAAAAATATCACAATTTTGTAATCAAAGCAAAAGGACTTCAGTGTAACCATCGCTCGTAGTTTACTTAAGGAAATAGCGTGACTTCAACTGGTTGAGTTTTATTATATCTACACAATTTGTCAGCAAGTATTGTCCATGGAGGGAACCACTTTGTTCAAATCGCAAAAATAGAACTGACTCATTGCGACGAGGCAATAAGAAGGCTGATGTAAAGCAGATTCGCTTGAACAAACTTATCAAAGATTTATGAATATCCCAATTTAGTGTACAGACTCAGCGTTAACAGTCACGAGACCCAGAGAAAAACAGGATTCCTGCAGTCTATGTTATTGTTTAGTTGATTGTAAACTGGATGACGGACTACTCTTCGCTGTCTATTTCAATCGGTTGGCTTATTTGCTCAAGGATGCGTGACACCTGAGATTACCAGGAGATCTACTGAAACGTATTCATAAAACCCATACTCTCGGGTGAAGACAGGTGAGCCCAACATTATTACTTTTCGGGTCAGATCCTACTTGCTTTTATCCTGTCATCTCGGGGAATAAGGTAGTTTTTTAAACGAATCTCAAGATATTCTGATGATGACAACGCCCTTTGACTGCATGAACTAAAATATCTGTCAAACTTGATTGCATTGATGCAATAAACAAGGCGAAGTCGTCAAAAAGTGTAACACGTTTTTCACATTTAAAGGTATCCGTGTAACTGAATTTGAATTCTAAGTCAAGCTACGTCTATTCTAGTATTGATTTGAGTCTGTAACCACAGGGTGATTTCATCGCTTTTGCATTCACTGCCTGCTGTGCCAAAAAACATATGCTTGAAATGAAGAAACCTCTCAGTCTATCACCAATGATTAGTGGTTTCTGAAAAGGTTAAATAGTGTGGCAACATCAATCATGATCTCAAACAGTCAGGTACAGGAAAGAATACCATTTTTAAATGTCGTTAAAGAAGGGAAGCGTAGAAGAATCAAGTGACCCTGTACAGCTCCGGAATAGGCTGTTTCTAACGAACTACTTACATTACAAGGCCGAAAATGCGTATACATAGGACATTTGTCAATTTTAATGGTCGTCCGGTCGACCAGGCCCATGCCTTCCTGATAAATGGACGCGCTTTTATATGATTACCACATATCCATCAATAATTCCGGAAATATAAATACATCCGGTTCACAAATGACCTCCAACTCACCACTGATGGGTTTAGTGCACTGCGCGCATCTTTTCGCGAAAAGTTCTGTGTAGCAGTCCGCGCAGTATGGCTTATCATCTTTGGAGGTGAACTTCTGTCCTGACAATTCCGCATTGCAGTTCACACATAGGAAACAGGTCTTGTGCCAAGGTTGACCCTTGTAGGTAACGCCCCCCTTTTGAATTGGCTGTGAAAAGAAATGGACAGGAAGGGAGACTGGTCACTTTTTGTGGTATGTGAGGAAGTCCATTGTACTAAGGGGTCATATTTTGTACTCAATTCCTGAACATATATCCTAGTGACAAAGCATTAAACTAAATTCCTTTTGGCATCTAATTATTTGATTTGAAATGATAAATAATAAAGTATTCTTCTACAGATATTATTGTCGTTTATTTTCAAGAGCACAATCCATCCACCAAAACCAAGCACGAGCGATAGATGTGAAAGGACGTACAGAGGAGAGTATTAGATTAGACGAGGGAACTCTCCCATTCGAAGGCATGTGAGTAATACTTCCAGTCAGACAAGGTGGTTTCCAAGGTATGCACGAATGTTTGGTATGAAAATATACGTTAAAAAACCAGTAACCGAAGAGACAACAAACGATGATGAATGCTATTCAAGGCACAGTAAGCGCCAGCCAGTCAAGACTCGCAAATCAGCCTCACAGTGTCCGTCATAAAGGGTCAAATGTGAAAATCAATGGCCGGAATGTACATTCAGTGCCGTGTACCATGTATTAAAGCGTCGTAAGTACATAGAGATCCAAAAATGATGAGCAACTGGCAGGTTAATTTGATACGTTGGAAACAAGGGCGATAAAAATTTGAATTCTGCGCCCAACAGGTGAGACTCGAACGAACAAAGGCCGCAAGTGGTGATCCATAAAGCTTCACCAACCATAAGTGTAGCAAGCTCAGTCAAAGATGCATACGCACCGCCGCTGTTTTTTTCACTCACAATTTCGGGCAGTTGAATTTCACGAAGTTTGGATACTTCCTGGTAAGTTAACAACAGGAAGTTGTGATCAGCAACCAGATTTAAACTCCTAAAAGTTTCCAAAAGGTGCAGAGTTAAGGGAAAGAAGCAGCAAAATCATTCGACGCTTTAATTTTCAACCGGAACTTCCCTACTGAGTGATGTAAATAATTGCAGTTCCAATAACATATTAGATTTAGGTCAGAAATGATGAAAAATGCTGAAATTCGTCGATATCCTGTCAACAAAGTCTACCTGGCGGATATCTGTCTATTCAAATCTGTACCCGTCTGTCACCAGAGAATTTGGAAAGTTTACCCCCAGATCAATTTTGATAGCCTTAAACTGAAATACTGTGTCTCCCTCATACGTTTGTACTTCTAATTATCAAGTGGATATCCCTTATGGTAAGTCGGGCAATTTCACGAAGTTTGGATACTTCCTGGTAAGTTAACAACAGGAAGTTGTGATCAGCAACCAGATTTAAACTCCTAAAAGTTTCCAAAAGGTGCAGAGTTAAGGGAAAGAAGCAGCAAAATCATTCGACGCTTTAATTTTCAACCGGAACTTCCCTACTGAGTGATGTAAATAATTGCAGTTCCAATAACATATTAGATTTAGGTCAGAAATGATGAAAAATGCTGAAATTCGTCGATATCCTGTCAACAAAGTCTACCTGGCGGATATCTGTCTATTCAAATCTGTACCCGTCTGTCACCAGAGAATTTGGAAAGTTTACCCCCAGATCAATTTTGATAGCCTTAAACTGAAATACTGTGTCTCCCTCATACGTTTGTACTTCTAATTATCAAGTGGATATCCCTTATGGTAATTCCCTTGGTCTCTCTTGTCAAACGACTTTTTCGACTCACTGGGTGAGATCTGGCAGAGTACACCACATGCCACGATAATGGTAGAGAGGCAGCCAAAAGGTGTACTTTTAGCTGGACATATTTGATGTCCAGTCTAGCTGTTTGAGATAATACGTTCCTACCGCGTCTTGTCTAGGGCGGACGCAGCCAGCGTAAACTAAGTGAGCACTAAGCTCTACTGTTGAAGATACAACAGATCGTGGTAAGACAAATCATGGCATAAATGTACTACACATAATACTCAGAACAGATCCAACCAGATGTACAATATTCATCTGCCTCCGCTAAACACGGTGTGAGCATGTCTAGGAAATTAAACCCGTTTCACACGGAAATGGCTGTGCACAGTTCTGGATCCCGCTTAGTAAAACGAACAAGCTACCTGGAAGAAATGCCTTGAGAGTTACTATCACACATGTCAAATTAGTGAGTTAGATTCATTTATATAAGAGGCATGTCAATATTACCATTGCAACCGACCAAAATTGTTCCACGGTAAGCTACCCAAGCCAATGCGCCAACCGAATTAGACAAGCAAACTTGGGTGATGCTTGGACAGAACAGAGCTGAAATTGTTCAAGAAATATGTGCCATTTAACGCTGAACACATTAGATGACAGTATGCGTCCTACCTCTTCGACGTCCCTCCTAAAGAAGTGTTCTTCTTTTGAAAGGGAAAAGAGTTTAATGATGTCAAATGTTAGAGGTGCTGTGCACGGTTCTTCAACCAGTCTGGCGTGGGATGCTAGTTCCTTTTCGTGTAGCAGCTCTAACAGTCTGTCTCAGACAACCTGAATAGTACTCAGCTACAGAGGATGTTGCAGGTAAATACTTCCTTAGTTGGTGTAAAGGCTCGTTTTCGGCTGACTGGTCAGTCCGGAATGTCTTTGTCTAAGACTAACACAAACCACTCCTCAAGTCTAACTCATCAAGGTGTAAATTTGTGGCCGTCGGCTGTGGGTGGTTGATGCTGCTTGGGACAACTGAAGCCAGCTTTAAAATCAAGGAGCAACTAAAGCTGTTTTGGTATTGTCATCAGAAATTTGTAGATCAGAGAGATTAGACCTCGAAGCCTTGCGGTTAGTGGTTGAACAATGTGTCAACCTGCTGAGACTCGCTGGTCAGCAACGTGATCAGCTGTCACTCAGATGGAAAATAGCTCCAATCCCCGTTCAGATTCATCAAATGTCTATGGTTCACAATGATAACGGAACACCTGAACACGGTTTCCCGGGTTTCATAATAGTTTAACCCACTTATACAATGAGTTGTTGGCTGGAATTTCCAAGTCTCCACACTACCAACAAATCATAAGTAATATGCTCAGGAAGGAAATAACCCCTTCTATCCTTCTATCCTTCTATCCGGGAGCAGTCAGTCAGGGCAAGATCGAGTGATGTGAGTTGCATGATCACAGGAGATATATTCCGTCGAAGTGTAATTAAATGACGTTGCTGATCAGCCACAAGTGACCAAATATTACATAATTAAACTGGTAACTGGGAGGTCGCGGGTTCGGATCATCGTGAGATGGGGCGAGATAGCCCAAGTGGTTAGAGCGCGAATTTACTGACCTTAAGGTCCGTGGTTCGAACCCGACCTCTGCCTCTCGACTTCCCCTGTCTAGGCTTGGGCAACCTGGCAGTATCCCAGCCATCGTGCAGTTTTCGGAGGGGGGGGGCTTGAGATGCATACTGCCGATGATTCGCAACAAGCATGAAATATGGTTCTCAATAAGGATGAAACAGATATGCATTGCCCCTCGGCTCTTCAGTGTTGACTTATTGGGCAAACACACTGCTAAACAGCCACTCTTGGCCAAGTGGTTAGGTGTCTAACCACTGGCTGGGTTCGAAACAGTTTTACGGTGCTTCAGTATAAAATTGGCTTCACTGATAGGATGAAATCTCTACTGAATATGGCCAAACCTCCTAACATTATTATGAAGGAACGGTCAGATGTTCAAGCTACTAGCCGGGGGTGGCGGCTTCGTAGGATGGACACTGATGATGATTCTCAATAAAAACGATGCAGTTCTACCGTATCACTCTCGGCTGTTAAGCCTAGACTGACTCCACCTACATGACGAAACTTTAATTGAAAGCACACAACAGTTGTACAGCACCTCTCAGACTTTCAGTAACGTTTGGTGTCAACTGTAGGATGAAACCTGTTCAAAGTCAGCGACTACAAGAGATTCAAAGGCTGCTAACAAGGAATTTCCCTGTTGACATAGAACGCTGGGTACATCATTTCCAGTGCCATATGAAGAGTTTGTGTTGTTGAGCGATTGCTGGAGCCTATCAGCAATGTCTAATTTAGGATATGACCAGTGGAAACAGTGGCGACAAACTGCAATGAAAAGGAGCTTCCAAAAAGAACTAACACATATTCACACTTTAGCGAGTTCTGTCCAATGTAGATGGTGAGATTCTCGTTGTAACGAATAGTTGGGGAGCCAAACTGGAAAACTCCCATCGTAAGAGTATCGGATACTTAAAGGGATCCACAAAATGTGGAAATAAAATTAATTACTCAACATTTTCCAACCCCTGCTATCGGAAGAAAGAAACCCGTTGGGTCCGCATCAGGCGCTAATCTCACCAAAACTGTGCATGGTCATCTGATTGTTCGCGTAACGTGACCTCGTCGCTGAAGGCTGTCATGCTAGAAAACCTGCATTTCATACCGTTTTTTTACATATGCCAAGGTAGGTTCACCGTACACGTCTTAATCTAGTCCGCTGTGGTTTTTTCGTTACTGAGCTCGATGACACTGATTTGTCTGCAAGCTAATACCCTGCGAAACGAAATTCAGATATAAACAATATTTGGAATTGCGTTTTTTATCCTTGACTCAGTGATGTTGCACCGAGATGATACGTCTGCAGTCATTTCGCCTTTGTCGACACGGCGCAACTAATTGTACTCAACTGTTCTAAAAAACCTGTGATGACCGATTGGCCGGGCATAGACGACGAGTGAAAGTGATCTGAAAGACGGTGTGCCTGTAAGACTCATGGGATATACCAGTGTTCTGTCCATCTTAAAATATCAAGCGAATCTAGAGCACATAGTCAAGACCAATAAACTGAGCCCAGCGGTCGAGCTGGCCAAGATAGATCCGAGCTCATTGTGTGCTGTTGCGCGGAGCATCAAGAAATTCAAATGTTACCCCCGAAACGCTGACGACTGCACTGTGGTTGGCATCACATCAACTGCTCAAAAGATAAAAAGATAGAGAACTAAGGGGAAGCCATTCTAGAACAATCGAGCTGGGCTCACACTCAAGTTGTGTTGCCATGCCCTTATTCGAAAATATACTTTGTCTTGCATGGTAAGGTAGCAACGAACCTTCGGTCGAAAGCTGGACTGTGGCTCAGTTCCTCACATGAAAATTCAGTTCACCTTCTCGTGCGTACCAGTCTACGGGCACATTTTTCGGGACAGTGGATGTGTCTGGAGAGGAAGTAACTTTGACAATAAGAACAAACATATTCCACAGAGGGCACAAATGTACGTCCAGTTTTTCAGTCTGTCCAAACCCCTGGTTGGAATGCCACCCTGTCGACTCCGCACCACTCTCCACTACTTTTCTTCAGTGCACAGAATCGTGTGTACTGCCATTCGCAGAGGCGAATGCTATTGCCAGACTTAAATGAAGCACGTGCGTAGGATCTTTGGACTGAGACGCTTGAACGGTCAATCCGTTGGCCTGGCTTTTGCCAAGTTCTCATAATCGCTTTTTGCATCATCTTTATGAACACAGTTCCCGTGTTTCAGTTGATCCGGCAACAGAGAACTCATACAAAGTGTGCGTTTCATTAATCTCAGCGACAGTTGAACATCAAAGGCACAGCAGCTAGTGACGTAAGTCAGAAAAACATTGGGCTGGTTTGCAGGAAGCTGTTTTTTGAGAATCAAATGCTAGCTTTGTTAGCTGAGACACATGGAATTTACAATGTACTCTATTTATTTGACTGTCCGCGCCTTTTGAAATCCAACCAAGCCAGTGCTGAAGAACTGTTTAATGAACGAGTTCGGGTTATGGACGATCCAGCTCCTGAATGCTTCTGTCTGCTAGCTTCTATCAGTTGAGACGGTACCAAATCAAATCAGTACATTTCCCAGGACGATCGCCTGCTGGTGTAAGGGTGGATACTACTGATGGGTTTGCGAATAGTATGTTTTCTCGTAAATCCGCTTCGTGTCTCTTGAAAAGTGAGATCTTCTACGGAGTTTGTGGAGTCGTTTTGTAGCATTTGCTTGCGTTTGAGCGACAGTCAATGAATATCCAGGGAAATTTAGGAAGACGTGTTCAAGGCGATGTGTATTCAGTTTTCGTAAACAAGATGCGTATGTGAGTTTTGTTTCCCTGTCCAATAGTCTGTAACCGCTCGGTTGGTGTTCTACAATGTGAACTTCGCAGAGAAAGCCTTCTTCCTTTCACTGGTAGTTCATGAACCAACGGACGTAGAAACTATGGATCCATCAAAGCCTTTTGTAGATTCAGTCTGTTTGAAGTAAGGACTGTGTAGTTTTTCTTCGATCGTCGATTGGATGCAGTTGTGCAGCGTTGGATGAGACTGAGTTTATGCCATTTGGTCTTTCACCCAGTCTGGCACAGACTACTGTTTGTATACTGTTTGTGTATAAGTAATTCCTGATAGTTAATTCTTTAATCACTGTTGTTTCTTCCTGACGTCCCTACAACTGACGATCGTAGTATAAAATCTTTCAGTTTCCCACTATGTAGCAGGCTACATTTGGGCAATGTGTCCTGGACGCATGTTCTTTAGAGGGCTCGTATCGGCTTCAGTAGGCTCATTGTAACCAGTTCCCACTGCATCCAAACTCTTGTTGGACAGCTATAATCTGGCTTTGTAATATTTTACCTGTATCCGCCAGGAAATTGATGGCTGCATCCAAAATATCGGTATATAGAATGTGGTCGACATGGTCGCGCGAGGCTTTGAGGCAATACCTACCCAGATGCTTCATCGAACCTCTGCACAAGTGGCTTTCTGAAGTCACGTCAGAGCTAAACAACGTGTCTTTTTGATGATAACGCCAGTCAGTAGAGTTTCTCCGTGTAAAATCCATCTTGTGTTTTGTTTCCGTTGATCCAAGTTGCTGGGCACCTTTATTCGTAAGGTCGTGTGTTTTCATCACATCGACATGATGCAACACAAAATGTCGCAACCTTAGCTACCCAGTTAAACTGTGTGCCGAAATCACGTTGCCGATATACTGTCCTGGAATATGACAGTATATATGGTGTGGTCTTGTCAAGGGACTGTGAGAGGCAAGTAGGCTTAAGGATGTGTAGCGTCCATGCGTACGTCATTCTGGTGTAAATGGTCAGAGACATATCAGGAGCAGCAAAAACGTATTCCCGAGATAGGATTGTTAAGGTGCAGTTGCCTGTGTTGGAAGGCTGAGTCGTTTTGTGACCTCTCATGACCTACGTTTCTCTCTCGGCTTACAGGTTGGCCAGAGTAGCAAGGCCTCAGAAGATGCAGCTTGGTCCAAATCTCATGTGAATACTAACTACTGGTGGTGTCTGATGTTTCGGAGACAGTGTTGCACCAATTTTTACCTAATCGTATTAAGCACAACAGCGGACGGTTGTTTCTATTTGTTTTGGAGTTCACCACATGTGCTTGCAAAAATCTAACCAATCATAGCTTTTACAAAGGTGCTGTTTGTGTAGTTAACAGGTCCAATTTACCACAAAGGGTTTCTCGTAAGCTTGGTAGAACCCATATTTTCACTCATCCCGCCCCGTCTCACCCTTGTCGCAAATCGTTATTTCCTGTGCGCATAAGATTCGTTCGGAACCGTCGTTTAACTCTAGTTAAAACCAATTTATTTGCGAGTCGCTTGTTGCTTCGGATTCCTTGGTACGATATCATTTAATAGACCAAATTAAATTTCCAAATTTACTAAGTATAGGGGGTACGGGATTTCCAGCGAGATATCCAATTAGTTGACCTAGTATGCGACTGCTTCGGGCGACCTGAGATGAGCTGCTGTGGTCAGGTGGCCTGCTCTATTTATTCAATCTTGAGATTTCGCTTTCCTTGTGAAATTACCAAGCTCTGTTCACTTTTCAATGAAGAGATTGTTCTATGAGGGCTAGCTGTGGTTACAGCAAGGCTTGATGTTTGGCACCAGAATCCCCACCGTGACTATGGAAAACCTGTCTTGAAGATCTCTTTTACATTTGATGCGCCGGGACTACTAAATTCTTACCACGTAGGTTAATCTCTTCAAAGCCTTCTGAAAGATCTTGTCCTCGGAAAATACATCAAAAAGCATTTCACCACTTTCGAAAAGAACACATACAGCAAATATGATCATTCTCTTGAAGATCAAACACACATGACAGAGCTGCGAAAATAAAGTGTGCATTATTATAGTCGTTTATTTCCTACAAGCTCCTTTTGGAGACAGAAAGTTGCCCTGTTCAGGGTCAACAATAGGAGAAACGTGTTACTGAATTAAACTAAGATGCGTGAGTGACTCGTTGGTATGTGTTCGGATATCTTGCCTCGCACCTTCGCCAGAGCCTTTGGGTAGTGAGCTCGTCACGTTATCAACTTTTGGTGAAACGAATTCCATAGCCTTCACTAAGGTCACCTCATCAATTGCAAAAGGAGTTTTCAACAGGGTTATATCTTCGTATTTTTATGCTATTAGTCGAGTGTTTGACCGGGTCCCTTTATTCGACATTTCTATTCTCAGTACTTCTAACCTATGCTGCACTATCCGCTAATCAATTTCAGTGGCTAAATGCCCAATACTACCTCAACGCGCCCACTAGTTGATCAATAATCCAAGCCGTTCTAATCGATCAGTAACATTCACCTGACTCTCATGAAGACGCGATCGTGCCTACTTGTAACAAATTTGTATATTCACATAAAAATTGAAGGGAAATGCCGTAGGCTTCAGATAGTTTTGAGGCAAATTGTGTTCTAAACCGTTTAATGGATCGTCCGTTCTCTACTTTGTTTCTTGAAAGTATGACGCAGTTTTCCCTAAGTTTCAAATTTCCCAACATCTGAATAACTAGGCCTCACGCACTTCTTTGTTCCATTCATCACCACACAATGGGTCATACAATCAATCGATCAATTTACAGGTATGTTCTGAAAGATTGCTTTTTCTTACTCACCTTGTTGCACTTGAAACAACGCTGCGAGTATTTTTCTTCGTAACAGGGCACACAAACCACGCCATTGTCTTTCGGAACAAAGCTCTTTGTTCCCAGCGGCTGCTTGCACTCAAGACATGTGAAGCATTCCTCATGCCACGTGGAGCCTTTGTACTCGTACTTTCGTGAACCAGCTTTGAAGATTTTATGGCACCCGTCGCAGCGCGGAGAGAACTTCTCGTCATAGCAGTCCGGGCAGTAGAGGTCAGAATCTTTGGTTGTAAAAGGTTTGTCAGCCAATGAGGCTTTGCATTCACTGCAGAAGAAGCATCGTTCATGCCAATGTCTTTCTTTGAAGGACAAATCCTGTGGTAGTAAACGAAATCGCGTAAAACGGAAATCATGAGTCATAAGAAAACTGGGTTCAGGAATGCCTTTGTACTAGAGAAACACACTGATCGTGAACCAAGTACTATGAACTCTTATAACTGACCGCATCTTCAATTAATCTGTTTACACAACCGTTCAGTTGAGGGTGAAAGTTTTTTCGACATGAGACTGTGATACCTAGGTGAAGTGATAGCTGTCTTCAAAGCCGAACCGCGCACTCGAAAAACTACCCATGACAAGTTCTGCCGAAAAACTTCTTGTCCATTGCCACTTTTGGCAGAAAATAGGTAAGTTGATCGTGATGAACATTTCTGACGTTTTTATGAATGAGATGAAGTATATTCTTGTTAACTGTTGTATTGATGTTTACAAACGGCCATTCACAGGCTTTGACTCTTATCGGCGAGGTGCAGACGTCAAATACCTTTGAATACACTCATTTTGAAACACTTCGCACCTAAATGTTGCCAAAGTAATATTTCTAGCTGACTTTTTATTTTCACTATTTGCTTCGACGCGTCCCGTCCACTTGGTCTGACAGTAACTGGATGTAAACAGACCAGACCAGTCATGAGTGAATTACGACTAAGACCCTTGGAAAGTTTAATATTTAAACATATTTGTTGATCTCAAGGGGCGCACACCAACGTCAACCTGTGGGGCGTGGTGGCCAAATCGGTAAAGCACGAATTTACTGACCGGAGGATCCAACATCTGCTTCTCGACTTTCCCTGTCTAGGGCGAATTTACTGACCGGAGGATCCGACATCGACTTTCCTTGTCTAGGCTTAGGTAACCTGGCAGTATCCCAATCCTCGTGCAACCTTGGGGTGGAATGGCAGTTAGGCACCGAAAGGATACTACAGCTGAACGATTTTTTTCAACCTGTGGGGCATACACTACAGCTGGATCCCGAGGAGAGCGGTTGACTCATCAGGAGTGTCCGGATCAATAATTTCGGGCTGCTAACTATGGATCACGTGTTCAAGGCCGGTCTTTTGATTTGACCAGTCCGCGGACTAAAATTGATAATCTTCTGACTACTGGTGATCAAACACAAGTCCTACTGCTAATTCATCAGGTCTTGCAGTAACAAGATGACAGCAGTCGGATTCAGCAATGGATTGATAGACCAGGATATTACGTGAGCTATGCGGGAGTTTCTCACTACGGCATATATTTCTGTACGCACACCTTAGGCTGTTAGGTCATCCACATTTTCTCATGCGCTTTCACGTTGCTCACCGCTGACAAAATGGATGAAAAAGCATAAGAAAGAAGTGAACGAATGACTGTGATGGTCGTTGTTGGATATGCGTGCTCCGAAATCCCATTTAAATCAGTGATCTATCCATAAAGTACAGAAAAGTAAAGGTCTAATGATTTCCGTTGAATCAGTAAAGTTTGACAACAGTCGCCACCCTCAGGGGAATTATAGCAATGAGTGGAGTTGCTTTACGGGTTGAGGTGTGCCTTGTATGTCTTGGTGAATCAAGTGCTTGTGTTCTGATGCACAGTGAATTCTGTTAAAGGGGAAAGTAGAGCTCATCAGAGACAAAAAACATTTTGGGAGTATAAAACTCTTTGCGTATTCATTCATCCATACATTTCGTCACGTTGAATTGTAGAAAGAAGCATATCTTGCTTTACAACACGACCTCTCCTCCAGTGTTAAAAACACAAACTCTTCAAAGCACAACCGGATGGATTACGTCATTTTCGAGAAAATGTGCCCTAAGAGCAAACCGAACATCAACAAATAGTAACGTGGCTTCATACTTTGGCCATTGAAATAATCATCATCATCATCATCATCGACAGCATGACATCAGTGTTCAACACCAATGCTTCACTGCCGTACAAACATGATTTACTTGAAAATCTCATAGAAACTGACAACAAGAACGCCACTGACATCGGTTGACAGCCATAACTCGTAGTGTCCCCAACCAGGCACAGTGAGGATCACGCGGTCCCTATCCTGGAAGTCGAGTAGCGCCGACAGCACCCAAGCGTTTCGTGATCTTCTTCATACTCCTCTGCCAAGTTAAGGGTTGGCCATCTCTCTGCTTACGCCATTCTGAGTTGGGCATGGAAAACGGCACTCTTCGGCAAACGATGGTTAATGAAAAACTCATTTGAAGCGCACACCTCCTTGTTCGTTTATTTACGGGGACATTTTTTCAGTTGAGAGAAGTCCTCCGTGTGACTAGGCTCCCGTAAACTTAGAACATCTTTCCCCACTAGAATGTCCTCTATTTCCGTAAACAGCACTTTGGCACACGTATCTGAGCTTTGAATACTAGAATCAGTCTACGAAATCACCATTACCTCAAGAGCATAGAATAAAACTCGGTAGAGTCTACAGGGGTCTCAAAAACGCCCTGGGACTCCTGTTTACGTCGAAAACAACGTGAATTTTCAAGAGAATTTCCTACATTTGATGGCTTCCTCATTATGACGTTACGGTTGGGAACCTGCGTCACTCGGCTTTCAGTGTGACCTTTATTACGGAAGATGTCATGCGGCTCGCACACGCTGTTGTCTGACAGGCCTCTGGACACCGCTGGCTGGAGATTGCGTGCATTCGTCCTACTTTCCCCGATACTTCCCATCTGTCGAGTTGCATTGCGAGACCATGTCATAACACAGCAAATTACCAAATCTCCTCTAACCAGCATCAATTTATGAGAAGTTCAG